CCCTAGATCTGCATGCAGTATTGTGAGCTGTGTGACGACCTACGAAAGTAGAAGCCCATACCAAGACTCGATACGAACAAAAGGGAGGATGGTGCAGCAAAAGCCTTAGGTCTTGGACGAGATGCGTGAGACCTGGGCGAATTTCCTGGATGACGCTGCCCATCCCTCAGCTTGCGTTTCTCCAGCATAGCCATGCACGCGCGTGGCAGTCCTGAGTTTGATTCATCGCTCAGAGCGCAGCATGATAGAGGCCTCAATTGAGTCTGAGGTCCTTCCGATCATCAAGGCCGCCCAGACATTGAGATTGCCTGCTCTTTGCATCATGTATTCGCTTAGAGAAGTTTTCAGCAGAGGTGCCACGGCCGTAGACGTAACCTTGTAACTCACGACTGACTTTCTGGCTGTGCAGCCCCGCAGCAGCGGCGGGCACGTAAGTAATCCTTGGTGCTATCTTTATGGGTCCCAGTAGTACCCCCCTCTATACTACCCCCCTAGGTTCCCCCCCTAATTAACCTTAGTTAGGCCTCATTATCCCTAGATGACCTTAATTAAGAGGGGACCCTAGGGGGCTAGTATGGGGGGGGTACTACTTGAACCCATGATATCTCTTCCAAAGCGGAGCCAGGAATCCGGGTGTGTAATGTAGGAGCCGAAATTAGGGTTTCCCCAAAGTAGGGGTACCATTTGTGGGGTCCCTATACTAAGGACTGTAGTGACTATAGTATATTGGGGGCTATATTGGGGTTCCCCTTATTTTGGGAAACGACCAAATATTTGCTAATATTATGGTTCCAGATTCCTTGTAGAAGTATTGCAATTGTCGGGTACCTCGAACCGACCTGAACATCAGATTGATATTTCTTTAGGCCCCCGCGTTAGCCAAATTTTCCAACATTGCAGTATGATCGCTGCAAGGCTTTTAGAGGCACTAACTGCATGAAGGAGCCAAGGAGCTTGCAAAAGCCTGGAAACTTAGGGTTTAGGGTTTAGGGTTCAGGGTTTAAGGTTTAGGGTTTAGGGCTTAGGGTTTAGGGCTTAGGGTTCAGGAGTGGCCGTTTCTGATGTGAAACTGGTTGTTCAATACTTGTTTTATGGATGGCCATCCGAGACCGGCCCTTCCCCATTCCCTCAACTTTTTTTGAAGCTACCGAAGCCCCATGCTCGACTCGCGCAGGAGTTCCGAGAGGCCATAGCCTGAGCTCTTCTCTACCTGTTTATCGTTGTAGTGTAGTCAAGTCCTTGTGGTAGTTAGTAGGAGCCACCCAGATAGGTTCTGCCCGAGTAAGAGAGCAATATGGGGTTTCCATAAGAAGAACCCCCAATATATACCCCGTTACATTGAAGCCCTCATTGTATAGGGACTCCTAAATAGGCGCCCTGTTTGTTTTGAAAACTCCCACATCGCCTCGTTTGGCTTTGACATGCTTCCTGCCGTAAAGCGTTCACCCTTACGTCCAACGCCACCGATCCCTCGTATTCGATACTGATATAAGAGACCTGAGCTAGTGCGGCCCACATATTAGATATACTGTGGGATGTTGATATTAGTATGATGGTTTACTGTCAATGTGACTCTTACTGGGTCGTACTCCCAGTTGGTGGTTATCCTTCCACTTCTATCCCCTGAGGAATTATGTCGAGCTTTCTCATTGTAGTATAGCCCTCAGGAACTCTTGGCAGTTTGATTTTTCCATCGGTCTAAGTGGTTTGCAGCTGCTAGTGAGGGACAGAGTTATTAGGAAAGGCCAAACCTATCACAAAGTGCGTTGTTCCAGCTTCTTGTTAAAGGGATATACTCGTCTTCTGCACCATGCCACGATCCTAAATCCTATTAGACCCTGAAGCTCCAAACCTTGAGCAACAAGACCTAGAACCTAAATCCCTGAACACCAGATCCCTAAATCCTTAAATCCCTAAAGCCTAAACCCTAAACCCTAAAGCCTAAAACCTAAAGCCTAAAGCCTAAATAGAATGCCCTAGAACCCCTATCCCAAGCTCGCATCTCATAATCCGACCCTAAACCCTAAACCCATCGAGGGGCGAGCCACAAAAGTCCTAGGCTTTTTACAGATGGTTCTCACAGGAGGGCTCCCGCTTTTCGAAGGTACTGACTTAGCGAGTCCGCGTGTAGGCTATATGGGATTGGGGATTTAGGGTTCAGGGTTTAGGGGCCCGCGCTTTTCAATCTTGTCGTGTTGGCACCCAATCATGAACTTGAAGTTAAGAAATCTCTTGACACTACCTTTTTTGGGGCGGTCCTAATTGTAAGGGGTATAGTATATTTGGCCTACAGTAGGATCCCCCCATTTTGGGAAACTACCATATTTGCAACCCTAAACCCCTAAACCCCTAAACCTTAATCCCCTAAACCTTTAACCCTTAACCCCTAAACCCCAAACCCCCTAAACCCCCTAAACCCCAGGCACAAGCGCAGCTTTCTCCCAAGGCCCGGCCCTTGGTTTGCGGAGCCCCGGAGCGATTTTCCGGACCATCATATATTTGGAGGGTCGGGACTTAGCTACTAGTAACTGGTTATTACCTCCTGTAATTCAAAATGTAGTAACCATACTTCTCCTAATTATTACCCCATGTAACAAGTCCCCTGACCCTCCAAGTACTACCCAAAAAGGAACTACGTAGGAGGATCTGGGTAAGGTTTCTGCGCAGCGGCCCCTTCAAAGTCATACTGGTACGCAAAAAAAAACCGGCGTTCTAGCAGGTTTTAAGTACCCCATCTCTAAAGTCAGGTTAGGGTTTAGGGTTGAGGGAGGTCTCCACACATCCCCAGCTGACATATTCAGATTCGCCTTATAGCCCCATCCGTTTTGCTACATCGGAGCTTGGAGTGAGCCAAAAGTCAGTCAAAACTTGCTAGTTGCTAGTAGGGAGTACGGGAAGGTAATCCCGACATAAACCCGATCGACCTATAGAATATGTTCCCCATTTCCCTACTAAGATTGGTAAGTCATGAGCTTGCGCTCGAAGGCCTTCGAGATGTTCTACACGGGTAGCACCTTGTACACCAAGGAGGCTCTGGGCACTGAGTTAGGGTTTAGGGTTTAAGGTCTAGGGTTTAGGGATTCGGATTTAGGATTCAGAAGCGTTCTGCTTGTCGGATTTTATCGCTTATTGGTTGTTAGTAGTGAGCGGGGGAAGGGATCCCCATCTATGTGTACCATAGTCTGAACTCTTTAGAAGGTTATATAGGGATTCTATAGGGGAGTATTATAAGGCTTGATAGGGGGGATACTAGGAGTTAAGGCTATTTCCCGGAAGGCGAAGTTCTGCCCATTGAAAGTCCTCTGATGGTGGAAGTGCGGGTGGTTTTGATGATGGTGCTGTCAGACTTGCATGCTTGTTATTCAGCTTGTGCTTTCACACGCACACACACATACACTAGCAGAAGAGATGCATCAATAGTTCAGAACAAGTAGCTGCGCAAGGTGTATGTCATTGTCTGAAAGGGTTTCTTCCAATGCATGCTACAATAACCACCTGAAAGCGAACAGAGACGGCAGTCCATCTGCTTTCGCTTTACTGCTTCCAACTCAATTTTCCGATCGCGCTTGGAGCGATCCCTTATCTTCCATGGCACGCCCATTCGACGAAGACTGCATGCGCGCCGCTATCAAGCTCAGCGAGGACTGCGGCTGCCATTTTGGGGTGCCAGGAAGCAAGTGTTGCTTTGTCAATGCGCGGCTTGCTTGGGTTGCATCAATCATCCCCATGTGGAGCGTGACCACCAAACAGTCTATTCAACCTTCCAAAATACCAGCTATTGTTTGAGGCAATGTTTCCATTTTCAAAGGCTACACTTCCATGAAAAGCATTCCCGCTAAATTTGATGTCCCCCTCTCCCCAAATTTCTGGACATTATGGAGGACGCAGTGAAGGGCGGCCACATGCCGTTTGGGGCAGTGCTTGCTGATGCAGAGGGCAACATTCTGGCAGAGGCCTGGTTTGTAAAGGTTTAGGGTTTAGGGCTTAGTAAGCTGCAAAAGTCTAGCAAGCCCTGCTGGCGGAACATCTGGATTTGTTATTGAGGGCTTATAAGGATACAATGGGATGTTGCCCCAAATAAATTACAGGAGAATCAAATGGAAAATAACATCGAAAATGAACTGGTAACTAGGATGATACAGAGGTTTGTATGGGGATTGAGATTTCCGAAGATTGGGGGTATTTGTTTTGGGGCCCCATGATAAGGTTTCGAGTGTATTGGCTTCCCCGTATTTCTGGAAACCTGCATGTGAGCCCTGTCAGAACCTTCAGAAGCTTGAACCTAAATACGCCCGACCTCCTGACTTGACAAGGCTCACAACCAGTCAGTGGTTGCTGCTAAGCGTGGCGGTGGGGGCGACGTCACTCGCCACGCGGAGCCATGTTGTTTCAATGATCTTGCCAGCACTGCCTCGCAGAACTAGCAGTAACAAACGCCGTGAAGCTTGATTTTGCGGGGTTTCATAAGGTAAGGAGTATCATGTTGGGGATCCCCAATAACAAGGATTATAGTATATTGGAGGCGATATTGGGGTGCCCCTATTTAGCAAAAGTACCATTTCTTCAACAAGAAAGGCAGGACTTTGTTCTCTCAGCTTGCCATTTGACGTTCTCCAAGCCACCTGCTTCTCTCCCATCAGTAGGACCAAAAGAGCTCTTGTAATACAGTAGCTTCCATTTTATTCTCCATTATCCCAATACAACCCCAATATATACCCTATGATGATGTAATAGTTTCCATTTTCTTTTCCATTATCCCTATATAACCCCCCCCCATATAACCC